CTCTCTCTCTCTCTCTCTCTCTCTCTCTCTCTCTCTCTCTCTCTCTCTCTCTCTCTCTCTCTCTCTCTCTCTCTCTCTCTCTCTCTCTCTCTCTCTCTCTCTCTCCTCCCCCCCCTGTCATTCTGCACCCCGTTATACTACAGTCGCGCAACGGTTTGTTGATGCATTATTCAAGCGCAAACGCCGCCTCTGCCTCTGCCTCTGCCTCTCGCGCGCGTGTTGCCGCGCGCTGTTGTGCGTTAACTTGTCCTAAACTTCGGCAGCACAACGTTCGGGAGACGTCCGGGAGGAGGGATCGCTCGACGATGCTCAACCGGAGTCAGGAATCTTGAGGGTAAACGCGCGCGCGTGGCCGATCACCCCTGGATATTTCGAACGTGCACAAAAATATGCGTTATACATATTACGCATCTAAAATATCCAAATATTGACAATTCTAAGCAGGACATCGCTATTTTTCCGTCGCGTCGAGCTGCCTCTTTCGTTGAAATCTTTTCAACGAAATAGAAATATTCGCGCTTTCGAAAAAAAGTAGAAAAACACTCCCGACTTTTCAATTTACAGAAAAATTCTCTGGTTAACAAAATGCTCTAATAATGCTGTGCTTAATGAAATTATCTATTATGAAAATTTTACACAGACAGAATGATTTCCTTGAATTTTATTCAATTAAAAAGAAATTTATTTTTTGAAATATATCCAAACCAATTATTGATTCGACAAATTTGATTGTTTTGATTTTTCAAATAATCGAATAAATTGTTGGAAAAAATAACGATGGAGAAATATTCTTTATTATATGCTTCAACAATATTAAAGAATTTCTTTCATTTAAATACTTATTTTTTATTTTATTTTTTATTTAATTCGATCAAACAAAATGTTATTTACTTCAAAGATAAATTTTATTTCCTTTAAATAACAGTGTTTTTTCTATTAAATTACATAGTATACTTTAACGAAACAACAACTTTTAATCCAACAAAAATGATGTTTAACGTGAAACAATGTTGTTTAAATTAAATAAATTCAAGTCAAACAAATCTAAATCTAAGAATGCTAAATCTAAGAAATCTTTTTCTCAGTATAAATATAGAACATTGCAATTTGCAATGTAAATATAACTGTAATAATGAATTGAAGATAGATATTATTATTGTTATAACTTTAAACATTGTTTTGATGGCATGTTGCAATTAACGTTCAAAAGAGAGAATCATACTGGAATGATTATTGAGCTTCATCGTGAATGAAGTCATTGTAAGCTGTAGAGTGCTAATTATAGCATACCCTTAGGGAATCTAATGTCATGTTCATATCATATCCTACAATATACAATATGATATGCCTCTTGACTGATGTAAGCCGCATAGTTTATGCACCTCATAACTTCATTCATGGAGAATATGGCGTAAGATTTAACCACAGAGTATATTTGTAATCAACAAATGTTTGTTCCTATAAATAGTTATGTAACAAATATCATAATTAAGAAAAGAAAAAATACATTACCGCCTGTTTAAATTTAAACTAAAAAACTTGTTTTGTTTCTCTGTGACTTCATAAAATGCTCTTAAAATAATAAAAAAAATTTTGTTATAATTTTATGAAACATATCATTTTACGTCTTATAAACATGGTATTGAAGAAATCAATACAATTGAAAAAATCATTAAGAAAGTTTCAGTAACTTCGTGTTCGAATAGTAACATTGAGTGTTTTACAGTTTTGCTACAACTTCTTTACTAGTCAAGTAGGCCAACTCGCTTCTAAATCGTATAAAAGTCAGGTAGTCCGAGCTTTTGCTTTATTTAGAAGAATGATAGGTGACGGTGCACGAGCAGCAGATCGAAAGCGGAATCCAATAACTAAACACAGAAACAAGAATGAGAAATATATAATATTCTATATCCGCTCACCTACTCATGAAAAGTTAGTGAACGCTTGCACCAGCGAAAAATGTCGATATTTTTACAGTATTTTATTAATGCGAAATAAAAAATGAATTTTTTTTCACAAGTCACTTCTTCTCTAATATTTATTAGACTTACAAATGCGTATTAAAAATATGACGTAGCTAAAAAATTCATTAGCAAACGATTGTTCCAATCTGTTTCATCGTGAAGATTAGAAAGCTACATTTTGAGTCGCGCAAACGTGAGCGGTTATGCGATTATAAAGCTCCCGTAAAGCACCGATGAGATCGGTGAACCGTACTACTTTTCTTCCGGAAAGAAATCGCTTAATCAGCCGACTATTTCGCAAAATGAATCAGCCGATTATGTTGCGCGGCAAATGTGGGGACAGATAATAATACTAAATGCATTGGCGGAAGCTTGTTACGCGCGATGTAGTCGTGGCAAATCGCCATTGTGTCGGCTCCATCGGTATTATCTCGAAGTGTCGAGAGAGTACCGCAAGGAGATCTTGCGTGTGTTTGTGCAACGGAGAGCAAGAGTCCCGTGGAAACAATTAATCTAGCCCTCTGATTACTCCATACCGACGCATCCCCGACGTCCTCTCCCCCTCCCCCCCCCCTCGCCCCTCCCCGTATCGCAGTTCTCGCTTCACCAGCGTGGCTGCAGCCGAGACGTCAAAACTCAAGATATTAATATGTTCCCTCGACTGGCAGAGGAATGGTGACCGTCTGGAGGTCTTATTGATATTCCCTCTTCTGATTAAATTATTATAGCTTACAGTTATGCTTTCCTAATGTAAAATTAGCGGGACGGAGATACTTTCGTTCTCTAAGCATAAATCTGTTTAGACGGCTGCGATAAAATGCTTATACCCCGTTACAAACTTCGCGACTTCGGTAAGCTGACTCCATTAAGCGAAATGAGATTTATTCGGAATATCTAATGGATTCACAGTGCGATACGATAAAGTCGTAAATAACAATTGACTGTGGCGTGTTCTCTGTTAATGGTGCCGCAGAATTAACGTAAAACATATCGAGATCGTTCTTTTTTCGAAAACAATAAAATATAAAGGCTATACTAGCGAGATACAACAAAAAATTGTGAATCTTCATTATTCCCTTCTAAATATAATTTCTCATAGAGAAAAACTTACATATGAAAATATATATTTCTAATCAAATAAAATAATTTTTTCTGAAAAAAATAAATTTTTTTTATAAAATAGAACTATAATTTGTAATTTAAAATTTTATATTTAAGAAATGATTAATTGCATTTTAAAAATTATTATGCAAATATTTTATTTTTAAAAAGATCAATAAATACAATAAATACTATAAATTTTGTAATTTTATCGTAAAAAAAATATAGATATAAATCGCAATAATAAATATTCTATTATTGTTTTAATTTCATAAATCAGGAAATATAATTTGTCATTCAATACCATTAATTCGCGGAACATACTTTTTTAATCTATTAAATAAATTAGTTATTGTTTACAAATAATATCAAAGTATATTATTTTAAAAAATAATTCATACGTTTGTCTAAGAACTTATTCTATTTTATCAAGCGACATCAAAGTATTTATTTTTTTTTATTTGATAATAATGTTTGAATGTAAGAAATATTATAACTGTAACGTTTAGCTATTTTAACATCATATAAAAATCAATATATCGTATAAGCAGAGCACCTTACCTACAACGTGTAGGTAGCCATATTGCGTTTTGGCGGCAGCAGTGTTAATCTGGCACATGTACTTTCCCTTGTCCTCCTCGTGTACGTCGTTGATATGTAGGAACCAGGTCCTGTGCTTATCGTGCGACACGGATATTCTGGGGTTCCTGGTAATAACGTGATTCTGTACCGTCAGGATAGCGCTCTTGTCGAAAAGCATCCAGGCCACCTGAAACGAGATGAATATCGCATTATACATCGTAAACGCAGTTCGTGTATCGATTATTACAAAGTTGCTGTCCTTTCTTATGGTCCCATAATATCCCGTAATATCGTTTTACTGTTAAAAGTTATATACGCATTATAAGATAATGCAAATTATTTTCTGCCTTATTTTTTTTTTTTTCACTTAGATCTCGACATAAAACCTCCTCAACAATCGCGAAAGATAGTAGATCGTAAGAATACAATATCTCTTCAGTTTTTAGTTGCGCCAGAGTACAAAGAAGGGTATGGAGAATAAAGATGTATAGTAACAATATAAAGGAAAGGAAAGAACAAGGAAATATAGGAATGAGATTCCCGAACGAGATGATCAATGATGCTTTCAAGCATAAAGTGATCTACAAACCTACTATGGTTATAGATATCCACCAGTGGGATAAATCGCTTCGGGACTTCGAGGGAATATGCACTAACGTGCAATGTATATATGTGTATGTGTATATATGATCACGCGCGCGCGCACACACACACACACACACGCACATACACACACGCATATATATATATATATATATATATATATATATATATATATATATAT